TGCATTAGGAACTCTTATTATCCCCACTTTACAGATGAGGAAACTGAGGCACCAAAGATTTTCCCTTTCTCATCCAAAAGCACAGGCAGCCAGTCTCCAGAGCCGACTCTCATAACTGCAACCCCAAACCGTGGTTCCCCTTGTCCTGCCCCGTGATGAACCTCCCTGTCCTGCCCTTCTCCAGGCCTCCCCTGGCCCTCTTCTGCCCAGGGCAATGCGATCGTCCCGCTGTCTGCTCAGAAGGCTGTGTCTTGGATTCCAAGGCAGGAAGGCAGGAAGGGGGCCCAGTGAGCAGTAGACAGTGGGCGCAGTGAGGACGGCCCCCAGGTCCTCAGCATATGGGGAGAAAGTGAACAAGGGAACAAGTGCGGCCGGCTGAGCTGGACCCAGGAAAAGGTGTTGACCCTACGCCACCCTTTCTAGGAGATCCTTGTTCAAGAGCAAATTCTCTCTATAGCCAAAGGGCGAAGCGATGATTTTAAATGTAAATGAGAGAACTTCAGGGAGAGAACCCAATATCACAAGGAGGGATAAGAGAAGTAAGCGGAAGGGGTTTGTGAGTTATGGCGGTTTATCATTATTGTCATTATTACCAAAGCTATGACAGTCCAAACCCACTCACAGCTGTCCTGCATCCTCCCAGAGGGAGCCCCAAAGGTTGGGACCGCACATCAGGTACCTGGGGCCCTTGGATCTGAGGGGCTTTCTCCAGGCTCCGAGATTGGTGAAGAGGCCAGACAGACCCAGTTTGCCTCTCATAGAGAGACCCCAGCACAGTGAGGGGCCAGAGTGGGGTGACAGCCCAACTGTCGCTTCTTCACCTGCGTTGTCTGGCCAGGATCTGATGCCAGCACCCACTTGTTGGAGATCAGGAATGAATTAAAGAGGAAATCGGGTGAGAGTTGAATAGTTGGGGATGTTGAATCTTAGCTCTCCCTCCCCAATGAACCCAATTGGCCCTGGGTAACAGGACAATTAGAGGTGTCTCGAGGCCCCCTGAGTCTCCCAAGCTCGGGAGACGTAGCCCACTGTCCCGGAAATGCTCAGTTTTCCACTCGGGCTGCCTATGGGTCCCTTTACAATCTCCACCTTGGGCGAGGCAAAGAGAAAAGGCAAGAACACAGAGCCGACAAAACACACCCAGGCGCCCATGGCCAGAGCCATCTCCTCACACGCCCTGGCTCCGCATCCACTGTCCGCTGCCCGCTCCTCCACAGCTTTGAATGGGGCACCCAGGACTTGACCCCCTTTCTCTCTGTACCCAGGCCGACTCATTCTCCCCTTTATGGTGAAGAGACATCCCCGAGGCAGCGAGAGAGAGCCCGAAAAAGAATATTGGCGCCCCCAAGACAAAGGGTTCCAGTTCTGTCCAAGGCCGCCCTGTCCTCCTTCGACAGTTCGGGACAAATGAAAGCTATGGACAAGGGATTGTTGGGTTAGTGGGAAGGCGCGCCGGCCATGACCTCAGTGCCAAGACCACCCGTCAAGGTGTGAATTTACCTCTGGCTCCTCCCCGCTGGCGGGAACTGTGAAGCATGAGTGGCAGCCTCCTGGCGCTTTCCCGAGGCTCTTGGTCTCCTTGTCTCTGGGCAGTGTTGCTGGGCACTTCTTTTTGAAAACCTTGGAGCCTTCCCCTCAAATCCTGTTCTGCTAACATTTTCAGTACTTCTGCAGAGTCACAGGTAGGGAGAGAACATCCCAGGAAGGATTCAATCCCATTTGCAGAATACAAATGTGTTATTTCTCGCACACCTAAAATTGTGAAAGAGCTCATATGAGTGTACCATCATGGTGTAGAGCGGTGTTCCTTGTTTGATCAAAACCTAAGCATATTTGATGGGAGATTGGTTTGGTTCCCTCTCAGTTTGTTTCTCGGGAGGGCCTGTTCCCTCATTTGGTACTTGTAGACGTCTTAGGACATCTGAGTCAGGTAGGAGCCCTGGGCGCCCTCTCGGTGAGTGCTCCCACAGTGGGGGAAGGCTGGGGTTCTCAGAGTTCTCTCATATGAAGTGGACTCATGGGCAGCCATTTAAACTGGATATCTGCAGGTCCAGCTCTCAGAGACTCTGACTCAATAGGTCTGGAGTGGGCCCAGGAATCTGCACTTTAAATGAATAGCTCAGGTGATTCTGAAACGGATGCCCAACTCCTACCACACTTTGAAATAGGTATATTGGCCCCAGGCCACCTAATTTGGGAGAGAGTATCAAGAAGGCCCTGTGACTGGTGCTCAGCTGTGGGTACCAGAATTTGGACCCAATGTCACTGCAGTTAATCCCAACACCCTCTCTCCTGGAAGGCTAGAGGCCCCACTGGGAACAATGCTGGCCAAAAACAAGGACTATTTAGGGCAGCGGTTCTCAACCTTTCTAACGCCACAACTCCTTAATACAGTTCCTCATGTTGTGGTGACCCCCAACCATAAAATTATTTTTGTTGATACTCTAGAACTGTAATTTTGCTACTGTTATGAATCATAATGTAAATATCTTTTTGTTTTCCGATGGTCTTAGGCGACGCCTGTGAAAGGGTCATTCGACCCCCAAAGGGGTCGCGATCCACAGGTTGAGAACTGCTGATTTAGGGGGAGTGGGTGTTTTGAATTCTTATACATGGAGAGTAAATGGCTTTTAGCCAAAGAAAGAGGGTAACCACTAAAGAAATAACATAAATCTGTGCATATTAGGCTATTCTCTCGTCTCTTCTGATTCAAGAGGACTCTGTTAATCGCCCTTTCTAAACTTTCTAGATAACACTGAGAATTACATTTTTAATGTGTTTCCTTGCTTCCTGCTTGGCAGCACCTTATCTCGAAGCTTCCGTTTTTCTGTTTGGGGATCTGAGATGTAATTAACTAATGGGAATATCTTCCAAATGAGCCAAGTCTGGTGAGTTCCCAGAGCGGAAGAAACAAGTGTGGGTGAGCTGGTGAACTCACAGAAGGTTTCCTGAATGCAGCCAGACTGTTTGTCGACAGTTATTAACTGGGGAAAATGCCCCTGGTTTTGAGAAAAGCCCACTGGCTTTTTTCCTTGCGCTGCTTGTTTCGTAAGTCAGAACTTTCCTAAA